GATGATATTCAGGCAGGAGGAGCCGGGGGTGGAGGGGGTAGGGGGGAATTCATTTTGTTGTTCTATTTGGGATTGCTCTTTTTAGAAGCTTTTGTCCTGGAGGTTTCTTGTTTCTGGTTTTTTTATGTTTGGTGGGAGAGGAACAGTGAGGAGACTGGGGCCTAGAGAAGGGAGAGGACTCTGATATATGACGGAAAATGCTGCTTCAGGTCCAAGACAAGATGCCTTTGGACAGAGTATTCTGCCTTTGGTCAAAGTAGAAAGTATTCTCTGGAACCAGCTCATGAGATTTCATGGAATTGTCAGCTTAGGAGGCTGTTATTTTACCATCAGGAAGGAAGTCAACAACCAGCAAGCCTGTCATTTTTCCTGGAACTCATATTTTTTCCTGCAGGACAACAAAGGCTGGCTGATAAAACATGTCTTGGGAGGGGCTCAACACCCAGATTCCTTAGCATATGCTGACTCACAGAGACAATGTTCAGCTTTGCTTCTGAGTAAATACATGTTATTTATTTCGAAAGGCCAACTGGAAGTTTTCTTGCACCCTTTGGGTCGTTTCCTAGAAAGGAAGATTTGAAACAAAGCAACTGTGACGTGCACACGTGGAGTCATGACAAGAGACTCCCATTCCTAAAAACGAAATTGGTGGCACACACATCTAGCTTCCCCTGAGCAACCCAGGGAGCCGTTGCTGACAGCAGGTTTTGCCCTCTCCCGCAGTTGTGGCCCTTGCCTCTCCCCGGCCCTTCTCACCAGCACAGAGCAGGCATCTAGGACAAGGTAGCTGGGCACGGAGCTCAGCACAGGTGGCTAAAGTGGTCTCGGGGCTCTTCCAACACGAACTGGGGGAGTCGTGCTTCTCAGCAAACTCCCCAGTGACCCCAGTGTCCGGTGAAAGCTGCGGAGGGCATGAGGACTGCTAATATCCTTTGTCACACTCCATTCTCTGGACTCCACCCCACAATAAGAGTGCAAGACACTGACATGCCACACTCTTCGATTACAAATAGGCCTTGTCGATAATTAACATTTACATAAAACAAAAAAATACCTAAGTATGAAATTTCTTTTTTTAAATGCTCTACAAAAATGAACCAAACGACAAAGTCCACGCATTGTGCTAAAGTCCCGCTAAGGGCCTCTAATTTCTTGCAGCTCAGCTGGTCTCTAATACCCCCAGGAGTGTGGAGGAAGAAGGTTCTGTAACGTAAACACAGGGACATGTAGACCGTAAAATACAGAGGGCAAAAGTTTAGCTTCACAAGGATTAAAGCGACATAAATAACTATAAGGTTTTATTAACTATTCTCGATAAACTGGCAAAATCCAGTTTATAGTCGTAAACAGCTGATCATCAGTGGGAAAGGACACAGGACCCCTCATACATCTCCGATGATGTTGTAAATCAGATAGCCTTTTTTGGGATGCATGCAGTCATGCAATATGTGACAATAGCCATAAAACTTTGACCCAGCAATTCCACTTTTGGAAACAGCCCCAAGGAGATAGGACAAAGGTGAGAAAAGAAAATTTTATACAAAGGTGTTTTGTGCACAGGAGGACATTTAAAACAATCCTGTCAACTAAGGGAGGCCTTAGCAAACCACTCAATGCAGACACACTGTGTTGTGTGTGGCCATTCGAAATGCTGTGTTCGCGCAAGAATTTCACATAGGAAATAACTAAAGTAAAGGGAGAACACAATGTATTCAACGGGTAACTTGGAATTAGGTGAGAAAGTATATAGGTACACAGAGATCATATCAAGAGTGAATTAAGGATGATATAAATAATTGGTATTTAGAGCTCTTGGGATTGTTGTTGTAAAGTTGAGCCCCAAATTTTAAATTGAAAAAAAAGCGACATCTGGAGCCATCTACAGATGCTGAGTCTCACCCGTGCAAATGCCGTGGGCAGAGGTTAGCTCAGGGCAGGATTCCTTAGCCTCGGCCCTGCTGACGTTTTCAGGCAGATGCTTCTTTGCTCTGAGGGCTGCTGTCCTGTGCACGGTGGGATGATAGCAGCATTGCCAGCCTTTACCCACTAGATGCCAGTAGCACCTTCCCGGTTGTGACAATCAAAACCATCTCTAGGCATTTGCCAAATGTCTGCGGCTTGTGGGATGGGAAGCAAAGTCACTGTGGTTGAAAACTACTGGCTAAGCGATAAACAGCCGCCAGCTCTCCACCCTGACTATGGGAAGGGGACTGGACATCGCGAGGGCCGTGGGAGCCAGACAGTGTGTGTTCTTCTACAGGGGGCAGTACTCAGGTGGAATCCAGAATGACATATCCTGTTTCTTTTTAATTAGCAGCGAATTCAAAGTTAAAACATAGTGCAGCCTGAGCTTCACATCCGTGGGCTACAGCAGGTGACCATAAACTTTTCTGCGAAGGGCCAAATGGTGAACATTTTAGGCTTTATGGGACAAACTGTCTCTGTTGCAGCTACTCAGCTCTGCCTGTGTGGGGGGCAAGCAGCCATAGATGATACATAAATAATGGGCATGGCTGGGTTCTAATTAAGCTTTATTTGTGGACACTGAAATCACACAATATTATTCTTCCTTTGATTTTGTTTTCAACCATTTAAAAATGTCAATATCGCTTTTAGCTCACAGCCTGCATTTGGCCCACAGGCGGCAGCAGCAGTAACTAGGGGGTGTCGAGGGGGGCTGGAATCAGACTGGGGGGTCTGGGTGGACCAGCACAGCCTTGCCCCGCACACAGGGAGCCCCGAGGGATCCACACTGGAGGCCTCTCCTGTCCCATCCCCCCCCCCCACACACACACACACACACTGTGTTTTCACACTGCTGCCTCCTAAGACACCAGAAGGAAGGGATCGCCTTTTTTTTGAAACCACAGATTGGCTTCTCTGCCATTCTTTTAAAGTTTTCTGCTATTATTGTAAAAGGCAGGCCACGAATAGGGCACTAACCTAGCTGTTTACATGCTTCCCAGAGCCCCAGAAAACTCTTTAATGGACATTTTATCCATTTTTAATGACCTTGCTAAACACGAGCCTTCCTGTTTGTGTTCTCAGCAGGGTCTCTGACAGTAAATAGAAAATGCACACGGCCTTCCCCAGCCACAGGGGCAGCCCACGGCGCCGGGAGTGGGGACTGGAAGTGGGGACAGAGTGCTGGAGGGCCAGCTGTGAGGCCCGCTGCATGCGCTGCAGGGGATCCTGGGAACTGCTCCTCTCACTGGCAGGAAACCTGGCTCCTGCGAAACCACCTCGGGCCCAACTAGAACAGAACAGAGAGCGCCATCTTCCCACCCCTTGAAGTTGGCAAAAATATGGAAAATGATCAACGGAGGCTGATGGACAGGGGAGAAAGGAATGAAAAGAAATAAGAAATAAAAGAAAGAGTTAAAAAAATGAGCAGAAAAAGATGCAGAAGACAGAGACAAGAGGGAAGGGAGAGAAGAGGAGAAATGGAACAGGAAGGGCCGAGGGGTGTTCACCAGCTATACACAGAAGACACTCCGGCTTCGATGATGGGGGCCAGAGGCAACGTCTCCGTCTCTGGAACACACTCACGGGAGCCATTCGGGACCCTTTCTCTATCTCCAGCCATCGAATCCTTGGAATTTAGGTTCTAAAGCCTCATCCAGTTGTGAGACAGACAATTGTGGAGGACTCATTCGGCTCTCTCCTCTCCCCCACCTCCCACAGGACTTGAGAGGGTTCCCCCAGCTGGAGGTGGGCAGGGGGCCAAAGGGGAGAGAGAACAGTTGTGGGGGTACCTGTGCCTCCCCCCTCCCTGGGCCAAGACAGAAAGCGAGGCTAGAACCTCCCCATAAGTTCACGAATCCAAAGGTGGACAGGGCCCCATCTGGAACTCTAGGACAGCAGGCTCACAGAAGTGCCAAGCCACCCGGAGGCAGTGGGAGAGTAGGTATCAGGGCAGCCTTTGGTTTGGTCCCTTTCTACACCCAAGATTGGGTGCAGGACAAAGGGACAGGAGGGCTGACCTAGGTCTGTTCCCCAGTGCCCTGCCTCAGGCCTCCTCATTCCTTGATGAATCTGTAGTCACCATCCTGTAAACCAGGGCTGAAGAGTTGGGGGGCTGGGGGGCAGCCACTTGAGATTTAATGAGGACCCTCATTTAGATGTAATGAGGAGGGAGCTTCGGGAGAGCAGCCACACCTTCCTGTGCCCACAGTTAGGAGGCAGCAATGGGTGGAGGTGAGTGGCAGGTCACTCAACAGGGACAGGTGGGGCCAAGGCACATACACAAGACCAGTGACATAACCATGGCTGGATGAACACAGGATCCCAGACGACTCCACTGAGTGGCTGGCTCTGCCCCACGAATGTCACTCCATCGAATGTCCTCTGGCCTCAGAACCAGTCCCAGGTAGGACAGGGGAGGTCAAAATCCCAAATGGGACTGATTTATAAACCCAAAGCAACCCCTAAATCACCAAACTGGGTTGAGGTTACTTCCAAGTGTCAGGGTTTTGGGCTAGAAACTAATTTTATTGATAGGAAAGTAAAGTGAAGTTTTGCACAACTGAATTGGTGGCTGGTGAAAGTTCATGCCTGGGACACAAGTACTGACTTCTTGAACTCTCCTAGAAAAAGTACTATCAGTCTTCCTGGCGGGCAAATGCTGGGTCATTGCACCTTGGGCCACTCACTTGTCGCCTCACCTGCCCCTGATCTCCCCAGGCTCCCAGTGACCTCCCCCAATGCTGACTCTATGGCTGTGGTCACCGTAGGAGCCCAGAGCCAGCTGCACCGTTCCCAGTCTCAGTGGCTGACTCCTGCAATCGGCACGTGCTCGAAAGGCTCCACTGTCACGAGCTCTGTGCTTAGCTGGAGCAAAGGAGCAGAAATCCTTGTGTTGGAGCCGCAAAGTTGCTAAACATTGCATGTTCCCAGGCCTGCTCAGCTACTTCTGGGAAGAGGCCGCTTGAGGGTATGCTCAGTAAGCATTCCTGGGCTCTGAGCCAGCGTGAGGGGCCAGAGTCCCTGTACGACAGCACTGCAATGTCTGGTGCCTTTCTACTGCCAGGCTCAGGGGCAAGATGGGAGGGCAGCAGAGCTGGGAGGTGGCCTGGAGACTGGCAGACCTGCACCCAGCAGAGTCCCCTCCCCGGCACCCCTCTGGGACCCTCCCTCCTTCCTTGATTTGTTAGCAGTCACTGTGCTGTAAATGCGGGTGAAGAGTCCAGGGTGCGGTGTTGCTGCAGACACTTGAGATTTAATGAGGATTAGGAGAAGCCCCAGCCACGCCCTTAGGAAGGTCCACTCCATTTCCGGCCCCTCTGTGTAGGGAGAGTAACATTTCAGGGCTGTCTCAGAGGGGAAGCCCAGAGCCCAGGCTCCCACCAGACCAAGGACCAATTAAACAACCATCCTCTGGTGACAGGGAAAGGCCCTCCTGGAACTCTGTGGAGGAGCCCCAGCAAAGGCTGTGACCACGACCCCATTTCTGGGGAGCCAGGTATGTCCAACTCAGGAATCCTTTGGGCTCAGAACCTGGGCTTGTCCTTCAAAGTCAATCTGTCAGGAGGCCTTCGTGACAGCCTGCTTTCTGAACACAAGACAAGAAATTGCTTTTCCTCTACAAAGCACTGGGGCTTCTTACCATCCCTCCTTCTTCCCAGCACCAGTTCACATCTGTGTCAGCCAAGCTTAGCTAGCAGCTCGGGGGCAGGGGGACGGTGAGGAGGAGCCATGGAAACGTGGTGGTATTTTCTCTAGGCAAAGGTCATCCACACCGAGGCTCCAAGGGTCTCATGGCACGGTGGCATTTAAACTTCTCTTGGTGTGCTCTGGAAGTCTTTCAGACACAAGAAATTCTCTAGTTGTCACTGAATTTTTCAAATATGGATTTGGTGCTCCTTCCTCACAGAGATTGTCTGGCCCTAAACTCGGACCAGAAAAGAGAAGTTGCTCTTTGGCTTCTGAGCAGGTCCCTTCCGGCATTCTCAAACGCAGGTGTTGTGATTTTCTGGGAGGAATCTCAGTGGAAACCAGGGACTCCTCAAAACTCTTCCCTGGGGGACAGTCAGGCCTGTAGGGGTAAGTCATGTACTCATTCTTTTCCTCTTCCAAAATGTTTTCCTGACTCTTTCCAGCTTCCTCTATAGAAATGTCTTCCAGAAAATTCTCAAAGTTCACCACCAACTTGTCAATAAGGTCACTGGGGGTAGAATATGGTTTTAGGATCCTGTCTTCTTCCAGGTTCACGGAGTCATCAAATTCCTTCAGATTTAGTTTATTCTGGACAAGAAAAAGGGACATCCCAAATGATCATTTAGGGGCTACACTTGATGTAGCCAAAAGCTCATCAGGCTTGGGACACCAGATGCCCCACTCTTGAACAGCACCCCACATTCCTCCCAGGCCCAGAAGTGGTGACCAGTCATCTCCACGAGCCCTTTGACGGGAGCTGGGAAAGAGTGGCCCGTTTCCTGGGAAACAGCACCCTGTATTCAAACAATTTCTTCTTCTAGAGAACTGAAGGCTATTTTCCACATAATCGTATGTTCATAAAACCCCAGTTAAGATGGAAGCATTAAAGTTAGAGCCCTTATAAATGGAAAAACCACAATTAGAAAGACAGACTTGCCTAACATCACCAGAAAATCAAAGGTGGCCTCATGGCAGCGACAGCATCTTTATCGTTTTTGTATCCCTAGGGCTTAGCCCAGTGCCAGGCATGCAATGGGTGACTAATAAGTGCTTGATGTAGAGCCCCAACCTACAGATTATTCAAAAAACATTTTAGGCATCATACAACATTGCCTATGAATTCACTTACTCTTAAGTAACTTTTCATATGTAGTAAAGTAAATAGGGTAATGTAAGACTGATAACGGAGAGGAGAAATTAGAAACAAAGTCCACTAACAAAAATATCCACATTTAAAAATAACTTTGAGTTGCAATGAAGACCAATATTTAAAATTTGTAGATCAAAGAAAAACTGGAGAATGTCTTTCAATAATAAAGATTGAAAGGTTATATTTGACTGGACTTATTTCTACTTAAGCAAGAAATTAAACCTTAAAAATTTCTTAACAGTTTTCAATTTAAAAACTTACGAAAAGGAGGGCTTCTACTTCAGGAATATTCACTCAAAAACCCCAATGCCAGTTGAATAAAGTTTGACTCTAACTTTCCCGATGTGAGAAAAACACCTCAAGGCAGCCTGTAGACAGCTCTGCCTATCAACACCCCCTCGGGATCCAGACTAATTTGCTCTTGGCTGCTTTTCAAATGGCCTCAACTCTTACAGCCAGGCCCTGTCTCCCTCCAATTAGACAGTCAAGTCAAGAAGGGTAGGGCTGGGGTCTGTCATCTGTGGCATCCTTTATGGGACCAGTTCCATTCTGGAAACACACTGGTCCTCATGAGCCTAGTGAAGCCCCTCCCTCTTGTCCAAAGCATGAGGTCCAAGTCGTTCCAGGAAGGCTGATTCCATCTGCTCCCCCAACCACTTCCTGGGACTTTTCAACCTCAAGTTCTCTTCACGTGAAAAGCTCAGCCCAGGACTCCGCCCCATCTCCATCCACCCTGCCCACATCCTACAACCAGCCTACACAATGATTTCCTTAATAAAAATAGGTTTACCTTGAAATCATCTCCATGCCATGTGGCTATACTACTTTTGGCAGGATTGGGGACATTGGGCCAACACAGGTGAGTCAATTTGCTAATAAGAGATAAGAGTTTAAAACAAGAAGTGAGTCCAGAGAGCATTTTATACATACTGTATAGCTGAGCTGAAAGAGTGAGGTTTTGCTGAGAGGAACTGCATGGCCCCCTATTAACTTAGGGCCTCCTGATAGAAATCGGGAAAGGGAAGTATAATCGTTTGGAGAAGTGGGTAACGCCTGGGAACTTGTCACAATTGCAAATTCTTAGGCTTCACCCCAGAACCATGGAATGAGAAACCCTTGGGGTGGGGCCTGATTCTGATGCATGCTAAAAGTTAAAATGATTTCTTAAGTGCATAATGTACAAGAATTTGTGCTGGTGGATTGATTACAACCTATGCTGGTAACTGAGGTTGCATTAGCTTGACCATTAACTAAGCGCAGCTGCTTGGCAGAGAAAGCCCACAACGGTTCCATTTGGAGAGAGAGCTCTCCCAGGGAAGAACCATCAGGGTAGCATGGGCTCACTGCAGAGAGAAAGCACAAGACCATGAAGACACGCTTGCTTCCCCACAGTGACCAGCACGGGCAGGACAAAGGCCCCTACAGCCAGCCCTGCGACAGTGCACTGCAAAAGCAAGCAACAAGTTTGTGCCAGCATACAATGGCTAGCACTCTAACTCCATGAGATGCTGCTCCCTGCTCTAGCTGCGAGAGAGGCTTGCAAGAAGGCCTCTGGACGATGAGACAAAGGGCTTCTAGTCTCAGATTGTAAATGCAACAGAGGAAGCCTATGGGACAGCTGGCACTCTCCTGGCCTCCAAATGGCCTGGACCTGGTGCGTGGAGCTCTGGGAGGTGAAAGTCCTCTTGCTTGGTCAGACCTGTGATGAGCCGCAGAGTATAGCCTCTAATAATCTCAATAAATACGTACCAAATGAATAAATGAATGAACACCCCCTTAATAGTACAGTGTCCTCTCCTACAAAGCACCCATGATGCCTTCCACCCCTTTTTGTCCCTGGTTTTCAAGGCACCCACTGCTGCCTATAAACTCACTTGGGTTTTTTGAGACCATATGCCACTGTCAGGATGATGAGACTAAGAAGCCCTCCTCCAGTCAGAGAAGTTATAAGGAACATCTCAAAGACACCTTTGGGAAAAGGAGAACAAAAGTCAGTAGTAAGTTCAGTTCCTCACTTTCTTAACAAAAATCAAAGATTAACTTTTTCTTCTAGTAGCTTCAGCAACACAATTTCTTATTAGTTTTCTTTCAATTAAATTCACTTTCTTTTAATTAAAAGAACCCTGGGATTTGCAGCTCCCTATCCAGTTGTCTTCTCCCTGCATGAGACATTGTGTTCGCCAAGCCCATCTTCCAACTTAACTCATTCAATGAATATTTATTGAGCATGTAGTATTTGCCAAACACTATCTGGGTAATTAAACAAATAGCAATAAGCTACAAATACAAGATCCCTACTCTTATGGAGCTTGTGTTCTGGTAAAGGATACAGACATTAAATAACATAAGATGATTTCAGATAAAACAGGATAATAAGATAGAGAGAAACTGGCGTAAGGTGGAAGGGAGGGTAGCAACTTTAGATAGGGTGGCCAAGGAAGAAGTGAAATTCAAGCTGATCTTAATAATGAGAAGGAGCCAGCCATGCAAAAGTATTCTAGGCAGAAGGAACGGTGGATGCAAAACTTTGACACAGGAACAAGATGAGGAACATAAATGGAGGCAAAAAGCAGCAGGTGATGAGGTCAGATGATGAAGGACCCTGAAAGCTATAGGAAGGAGTTTGGATTTTCTTTATAATACAATAAAATTCACTGGTGGGTTTTAAGCGGGGCATCCAGGGTTTGAAACTGTGGCTGCTGTGTGGAAAATGGATTGTAAAGGATCAGAGATGGACACAGGGTGATCTATGATCTATAGACCAGGAAACTTCAAGGCTCTCAGGTAGGCTCTTGCCTTCATTTTGCCCCTTCAAGAAATTCCCATGAGCTGATGCAATTTGTGCCTAGTGTTATGAAAATATAACATGATTCTAAAAGATTTTAAACAGTAAGATCAAAAAGAGTTCCAAAAAGGCAATCTTAATCCATAAAAACAGAACATGTTTTCTATGTAAAAACACATGCTATGCTCACATTTTCCAGAGCTATAAAGCTATTTTATTCTTTAAAAATGTGATAAAACAGGCTTTCATGAATATTTCAAGCAGACAATTTTTACCTTGACCAGTTATTGCAAAACTTGGCAATGTTCCTTCATTTTTACTCTAAACAGTTGTTCATTCCTTAAAACAGTTTTAGTATATACTTAAAAATCAAATCTATGTCACTCAAGGACTTGGCAAAATTAACATATTTCTGTGTTTTTCCCATTCTCCTTCCTTCTTTCTGCTTCATCTCACTTCTCGTTCCATGTTCCTTTTCTCCTGAACATCTCCCTTAACCAACCATCATATGCAGCTACATTATATTTTACGTTACTTCTGGTAGCTGTTAAAATTTCTTGCTCCCTAGTTTTTAATGCAAAAGCTGGTAAGTCCGACGTATCACTGATATTTTTGTCCAAAAAAACTTCACAAATGAGATGAGGTTAAGCCCCTTCCTGTGGGCTTGGTCAACCAGGGTTTTCTCTCCAAGGCCCTGTAGTGTAGTAGTATCCTCTGACTTGCAGAAGGCAGTGACTATAAGCTTGGGGACAGCTTTGGGGCAGGACTTGGCAAGGTGCTGAGGCTGAAGCTAGCATTAACTAGACATCTCCTCCTGGAGATGACTGGTGGCTGCCCATGAGGAAGGAGCAAAACGACCAGTCTTTCCAAATTCTGCTCTCAGTTTGCCTGCTCTCCCTCCTGTCTCCTCACCATGTGCCTTCCAGGAGGGTCAATGAGCCAGAGAGCAGAATGGCTCCTCTCACCTAGGTACTGCCATTCATTGGGCTTCCACCCGCCTTTGGAAAACCCCATTTCTCATTGACCTAAGGTAAATGTCAAGGAGAGGTACTCAGGGCTTGACAGAAATACTCACTGATTGACAATGTCTTAAACTTTATCGTTGTCCCATTGGCTCCCCCAGCACTGGTGCTGGCCATGACCTGAACAGTGTAAGAGGTCTTTCGTGTCAGGGACTCCAGGCCATACTGCAGCATGCTGGAGTTGACTGTCTTGGCTAAAGAAAAAACATAGAAGTCAAACACCACAGGCAAGCCAGACTAAAAACTGTGTTTTAGTAGCACCAAAATAAGAACAATTGGAACCTGTAATTCCAAGGTTGGCCATCTCATACTCCAACCCCTATGCATGTTCTGCTTAAAATTAGCCTAGCAGGATGGATCAAAGTCCTAAATATAAGAGTTAAAACTATAAAAACTCTTAGAAAACAACATAGGGTAAAATCTTCATGACCTTGAATTTCACAATGGTTTCTTATATATGATGCCAAAGTCACAAGTAGCAAAATAGGTTAAATTGGATTTCATTAAAATTAAAAGCTTTTTTGCATCAAAAGAACAATATTAGGAAAATAAAAAGACAACCCACAGATAGGAGAAAATATTTACACATCATACATGCGATAAGGAGCTTATATCCAGAATATATAAAGAACTCTCATAACTCAACAACAAAAAGACAAACAACCCAATTTAAAAATAAGCAAAGAGATTAAAAAGACATTTCTTCAAAGATGATATGCAAATGGCCAACAACTACATGAAAAGATGCTCAACTTCGTTAGTCATTAGGGAAATGCCAATCAATGAGATACCACTTCTCACCCAGTAAGATAGCCATAATAATTTTTTTAAATGAAAAGTAACAAGTGTGGATAAGGATACAGAGAAGTTGAAACCCTCACATATTGCTGGTAAGAATGTAAAGTGGTGTAGTCACTATGCAAAACAGTTTGGTGGTTCCTCAATAAGTTAAACTGGAATTACCATATGATTCAGGAATTTTACTTGTAGGTATATACCCAAAAGAATTGAAAGCATGGATTCAAACAGATATCTGTATACCAATGTTCACAGCATCACTATTCACAGTAGCCAAAAGGTTGAAACAATTGATGAATGGATAATCCATTGATAATTCGCCAACTGATGAATGGATAAACCAAATAGGGACTATCTATATGATGAAATATTATTCAGTTGTGAAAAGGAATGAAATACTAATTCATGCTATAACATGGGTGCACTTCGAAAACATTATGCTAAGTAAAAGAAGCCAGACACAAGGCCACATATTGTATGATTCTATTTATATGAAATACCCAGAATAGGCAATCCCCATAGAGACACAAAGTAGTTTGGTCGTTACCAGGGGCTGTGGGAAGACAGGAATGAGGAGTTACCAATTAATGGGTACAGCTCTTCTATTTGAGTGAAAATAAAAAGGTTCTGGAAATACATAGTGGTGATGGTTGCACAACATTGTCAATATCCTTAATGCCCCTAAATTGTACACTTTCGAATGTTTAAAATGGTAAATTTTATGTTACATAACACAAAAATTTTAGTCTAAACAGAAATCCAAGCTAATCCAGAATTTAGGATGTCAGGAGATATTACGGACTCAAGAAAAAGAGCACGACTTGGCAGTGGGCAGTAGAAGTCATGGTACGCGGTCTGTCCCCCTCCACTCTTTAAGCCAGGGATACCCTTTCCAGGAACAATGGAGCTCCCAGTAGGTCAGCTCGTTCATGGCCTGACCAGTACAAATCATATCAACTCCTCCCATTCCTACAGGACTTTCGGGTTCTGTCACTTTGCTCTCATTTAAACCCCCAAACCTTGAAAAGGTGGGTACTCTTGGCCCCATTTTCAGAGAGGATCAAAGAAGCTAAGTGACTCATACAAGGTTGCAGGTCACAACCATGGCCGCCACCCTATAATAGGTCTATCCATAGATTCTACATGGCGTTTTTTCATCCTGGCTATGGGCACACTCACAGAATTCTTTTCCATCTTCGGCTTGGCAAAATATGGTGTAGTTACTGATGATACCATTTCTCTTACTCTTGGGAATCTCTTTCCATGCGATTGTGACTGTCTTCACACCAATGTCCTCCACCTTGGTCACAGGACCTTCTGTTGGAACTGGAAAGGACAGGGAGATAAATGATAAACACTGAATCACACCCCAGCAGATCCTCCTCCCACCATGGCTCGGGCCAGTACTCAGACCAAAACCACAGGGCTGGAGGTGGGAGGTGAGGGCGGGGCAGAGAATTAATGAATCAACTTCTTGGGAAAATTATTTTCTGATAAGAACAAATACAACCCTTGATCTTAGCCAAAAGGCCGAGAAGCAATGGGAACATTGTTTTCTGGAGTCACCCATCTTGAGAAGAGAAGTGACATCAAAGACCAGAGAAAAAGTACTTCCTTATAGACCTCTCGCTCCAATTTGGTACTCAGCTTTTCCATTCATATCTGTAAAGTGTAGGTATTATCAAATAGTTGATTTATATGCCTCCATGGGCTACATTTGAGTGGCGGATATTGTCCAGTGTTGAATCTGGAAGATGTGAACTTCCAAAAAGATGAGTATAAACTCTGAGCAATTCACCAGTAAAGCTCCTGCTTATTGCTATACAATTAAAAATAAATTTTTATCATCCCTAACTTATGATGAACTCTCTTAGGCTCCCTGAGTTGGTCTTAATTAAATGTTATTTCTGGTCAGAGCTGTATTTGCACTAGGCGTTTGTGACTTTGGGTAAGTTATTTCACCTCACGGAGCCTGAATTTTCCAATTGTGAAATGAGGGCATTGGACTTGATGATCTTTAGTGTCTACCTCAACTTTGAAATTCGGCAAATCCATAACCTGACCCCGGTCGTGTCAAACATTCATAGGTCCCTACAGGAGGAAGGCGCAGCACAAACGGGCCCTCTCTGCATGCTGGACAGGCCCCAGGGTTTCCTGTCCCCCACAGGGCCTTGTCCATACATACCACCTTCTTTGGCATAAGCCTGAATGGAATATGGCTCGCCCACTTGGTCTTGCAACACTGGATACACAGAGATGTTATAGCACCAGAAAGGTTTCAATTTATCTGGAAAAAAAGGAAGAAAAAAAAATAAGCATAAGTACAGAGCATGGCAGAGTAGAAAGAATACTGGACTAAGAGTTATGGCCTAAGACTTATGGAAGATATTCCATTTCTCTACAGTTTCCACATCTGGAAAACAAGGAGGTTAGGTTGGATGGTCTCTAATGTCTATTGCTGCTCTAAGATTTTATAATTAACTCATAGAACTGAACCCTGTTCCACTCTGACAAAATTACAGAGCCATCCAGGAAGAGAAAAGTAAGAGATCCGGTCCCTTCTCCATCACTGATGTTATCATGTATTTTGGGGCCACTGCAGAACAAAACTGAATCCTTCAGTTAATAGCATATCTCGCTGGAGAACTCAGATAACACAAATTCTAGCCTCTCTACCTGCCTGCGTCCCTGCATGCCTATCACTCTTCAAATGGATGCTATTCAGCATCAGGAAATGGTCAGAGGGATGGGATTGAACAGGTAAAGCCTCACTCGTGCATCGTACATGGGGCAGGGACTGTCCTGAAAAGAAGGCTGTTCCCTATATCAATCACCTGGGGAAAGGGCCTGGCTCTTAAATAGGTGACCAGAACTGAAGGCAGTGTCCCAGGTAGGACAGATGGGATCGAAACTCTGGTGTAATCTAAAAGATAATCAGAACATCTGAGAAGGACTCTCTTTTGGTGAGTCTTAACATGGTGTTTTCTGCCTGATCTGATACCCACAGCTTTCTGTGCCAACCTTGCCTGGGAGACGCCAGCAAGTGTGTCACTTCCCTAAGCTTGCATGAGCTTGTCAAACGCTATTAACCACATTATAGCTTTGAAGCCAAAGTTAAAGATTTCAAAATTGATGAAAATGAAACCAAATCTTGCCAGATGGAACTTGTGAGTTCTGCACTGGATACCTTGCTGGATTGTCCAGTTCCTGGCCTGAGACACAGACTCCCAGGAAAAAGCAGAGGGCTCTGCGTCCAAATCTGGGAACCACTCAACCATCCATGTGTCCACCTCCGGATCAGAGCTTTGCCACTCCACCACCAGCTGGTCCTGAGCAAGGCAGGCCTGCACGACCTCAATGCACCGAAATGCTGCAAGGAGAGAAAAGGATGGCTTCACAGCTACCCAACTCATCCCCAGATGCACCAACCACACTGGCACCTGTGCATTGCCCAAACTGTAAAACAAGGTCAAAGTTCAGAATCTCCACTGCAGCCTGCCATGGTGCTATTTTCATCCCTTTTATTGTATCCCTTTGCCTTATGCAACACCTTTGATGATTAAGTACCTTCTTAATCTTCCTTTACCTCCTCAAATTGACCTGTTTTCAGAAAAAGGATCTCACTAGAGAGCTGAGAACTAAAAGATTTACCTTCCAAAGGTGTTTCTGCAAGTCAAAAGAAAGCAAACCTGAGACAAAGAATAGATCTCCAAAGGTGGAATTTCAGGCACCAGTAATGTGGCTGGGAAGGTGGGAGATGGTGACCCTAAAGTCACAGCAGGGAGATGGCTTCACACTTTAACTATATAGGGTAGCCCTACACAAACAGGATATGGATTCCTATCCTCAAAGCAGCAAGAATTGTGTCTGCACCAGAAAGATAAAGACACATCCATCCAAAGTTCCTAGACATGGATCAGCATGTAAATATGTAATTGGCAACATTTTCTGCAGGACTGGCCAAAAACTCATCTCTGGGAACAGGCCACAAGGATTCCTTTAATAGCGTGATTTCAAATCCAATATCTGGGATTTAATCAGAATCAGAGAGATATCTTATTGAAAATGTACTGAACACACAGAACAAAGAAGACCCATTCGGAGGTGCCGTGAGGCAGAGAGGGAGGCACAGGCCAGCAGGGCTCAGAGATTACAGGGTGGGGCTTCCCCCTCCTCGCCCCTCCTCGCCTCCTCAGCACCTGCGGAACCTCAGCCTCCAAACCAGAACCCACAGGAAGTATGTTGCAATAAACATTAAAGACAATCCCGATCAGGGAGGAAGAGTGTCCTGTTAAAAAAAAAAAAAAAGGAAAGGAAAGGAAAAAAAAAAACAAAACCAAAAAGCCTTCTGAAGCTGGAAGCCTAGGCCAAAATGTAGGAATTTGCGGTGGGAACTGGGTGTCTTGCTTTCTGCTACCCCTCAGCAACAGCCCCAGCAGGCTGGCTGCATATTTAGGAGTCTTGTTCTTGTAAGCCACAGTTTATGGGTCCTTTTCCCAAACTAGGCCTTTAAGAAACACTCCAGCTGCTAGTCCTAGAAGGAAGGCCAGGTAGTTAGTTAACCTGAAAAGGTAGCTCTGAGAAAGGGCAGCTGAGGCATGAAGGAAATGTGAAGCGAGAAAAGGGGCAGGGGCCAGGGCCAGGAGCACAGAGCCTGGATGTCAACCCCACCTACTCTCTAGCTCCCTCCTCCCTGTCTTCCTGCTCACAGCCTCCCAGCGTCCTCAGCCAGTCCCAGCTGAAAGTCATTGCTGGAGCTTTGAAACCTTCCCTAGACTCTTCCAGTAGGCAATGTCGGTGCTCCACCCAGACCCTCTCAGATTCCTTCTTACTCTTTGTGCATGTTACCTGGTTGGGATAACTTTGAGATGTCACTTACACTCCAGAGTCTCCCTGCGGGATCTGGCAGGAACCACCCTAACCCAGCACTTCTATCTCAGATTGCACCTGTTATGGGTTGAATTGTGTCCCCCCAAAAAGATATCCCCAGTACCACAGAATGTGACCTTCTTTGGAAATAGGGCCACTGCAGATTTAATCAGTTAAGATGGTAGGCCCTTAACCCAATGACTGGTGTCTTTATGAGAAAAGAGGAATTTGGCTGAGCATGGTGGCTCATGCCTGTAATCCCAGTGCTTTGGGAAGCCAAGGCAGGAGGATCACTTGAGGCCAGGAGTTTGAAACCAATGTGGGCAACATAGTGAGACCCCATCTCTATAAAAAAATTTTTAAAAGAATTAGACAGGTATGGTGGCACACACCTGTAGTCCTAGCTACTCAGGAAGCTGAGGTGGGAGGATCGCTTAAGCCCAGGGGTTTGAGATTATAGTGAACTAAGATTGCACCACTGCACTCCAGTCTAGGTAACAGAGTGAGGCACCTTATGTCTTAAAAAAAAAAAGTAATTTAGAAACAGAGACACACAGGAATGTGAAGGCCAAGGTAGAGATTGGAATTATTGGAGTTACTGGAGCTGCCACAAGAAGCAGGAAGAGGTAAGGAGGGATCCAGCATGGAGCGTGGCCCAGCCAATGCCTTGATCTTGGACTTCTAGCCTGCAGAACGAGACAATAAACTTCTGTTTCTAGCCTGGCAGTCTGTGCTGCTTGGTTAGCAGCCCTAGGAAAATCAGATAGCACCTTTGGCTCAGCCGCCTCCCTCTTCCTGGCCTGCTTCCTTTTCCGGTCTCCCTGGAGGCACTTTCTCAATAAATGACTTGCCCACAAATCCGGACCTGAAGATGAGCCAGTGCTGGCTCCTAATCTCACACTCCTTCTCCTCACTGGAGCTCTGAGGAGCAGGAGGAGCTGGGTCTAAAGTGCCAATTGTGCTACAGAGACTGAGGAAGCCACAGGGATGTGGAAAAGGTCCCATGAAGCCAAGAGCCAACTTTGACAGGGGAAAAGGCCTGACAACGTCAAGCAGTGCTGAAAGAGAAGTTTCCAAACAATCACTCTACTGAATATAAACTAATTGCTGGGTCCTTCCATCATTCAACAAGAACTTTTTGAGCAATTACTCCAAATACAACACATACCCAGGCGTGGTAGGAAACAGGGAACCTTCCTTGGAAGAGGGGGAAGGGGATTTGGCTGTGAAGACCATGCATTTCTTGTGATTTGCATGACGACAGTTGCTCCATAGCTACCGAATCTGCTCTCAGGGGCTGGTGGTGCCTCCCGGTGCCTCCCCTTCGCCAGCTGTCCTGGCCCTACCTGACCTCTGCCCCGACTCGATTCTGACATCCTCCTTGGGCCGTCTGACCACACAGTGGCTGTGCTTTTCCCGCAGCTGCCTGCTGGGTGAGGTCTCACAGAACATAGAGGATGTTCAGGCAGAAGGAACCTGAGGGTTCGTCTATTCCTACCCCTTATGCTAAAGAGGGGAGCGTGGAGGCCCACAGAGGTCCAACCAGTTCAGCATCACACAGTATCTGTGACCGGAATTACAAGTCACTTTATTAACACCAAGGCCAAAATTCTGGACAAAGTACATTGTACAAATCTGGAATCGTGCAGACCTGAGCTGGAATCCCACCCGCGAGACCTGGGGCAAATTACTAAGCTTTCCTGAATCTGTTCATCATCTCTACAATGGACCTAACAGTACCTACATCATGAGTCATTTCAAGGCTAAAATGAGATAACTATGTTGCCTTAGCACAATGCCTGTAACATACTAATGGAAACTATATGATAATTATACTTAATGCTAGTTATACTTACAAAAATAATAATTATTATAACTATTTTCCGGTTGCCTCCACCTTATTAAACAAAATTCTGTAGAATGTTACTTTTTTATACGGCTAGGATGGAGGTCTGTAAACTTTCTCTGGGAAGAGCCAGATAGTCAATATTTTAGGTTTTGTGGGCTAGATGGTCTCTGCCCCAACTACTCACTTCTGCCACTGTGGCCCAAAAGAAGTCATAGACAATGTGTAAACCAATAAGTGTGGCTGTGTTCCAATAAAGCCTCACTTACAAACACAGGTGTCAGACCAGATTTGGCCCGCAAGCTGTAGTTTGCCAGCTTCTGGTCTAGGACATTATAATTGATGATCATACTGATGATTCTGACACAAAGCCAGAAAAACCCTCAGTGAATTTAGCACAGTTTTAGTTAAGATATTTTTGCAGTGTTTCTAAAGTTGATAATCCATGTCCAATGGAAATGTAATTAATCAGAAATTTTATTAAAAATGACAACAGTAACAATCAGCACTAGACAAAGCATTTTATGTACACAATCTTATTTAATCCTCATAATAGCTATATGAGGTAGGTATTATTAATATTATATAATAGCTCCATTTTACAAGTAGCTAAGGTTTAGAGAGGTTAGGTAATTTGCCCAAGGTTAATGGTATCTTGTGGAAGAGTCAAGATCTGAACCCAGGGCTGTTGGGTTCCAAAGCCCATGCTTTCATCCCCTACTCTCTACTGCCTCCCATTCTGGGGCCACACTAGATCACTATTCAACAGCACTTCTTTAACAAAGAAGGTGTTCCCCAATGAGGTGGGTTAAGTTTAAGGAGAAGAGAAGGAAAGGAGCACAGGCAGAGGAGTCTAGAGTGGGTCTGAGCAAACAGAGCAGAGGTGGCAAACCGGAGAGAACATTCCTAACTACACTGTGTTTCAACAAATAGTTACTGAGCACCTGCTCCATGCCAACTGCTCTATGCTATTTTAGGTGTTGGAAATCAGGTTAAAAAAGAAAAGAAAAGAAAAGAAAAACAGAGAAAAATCCTTGCCCTCGTGGAACTTGCATCCTATTTAGGGAGAGAAAGGTAACACAATAAATGAGAAAATATATAGAATAAGGGACAGTACTAAGTTCCACAAAGAAAAATAAAGCAGAGAACAGGAAATCTATTGCCTGTAATTCTTCGAATGAGAGTCAAAGAAGGTATTTTATTCCAAAACAGGATACAAAATATGAGTTTGCCTGGGAGCAGTAATGTTAAAAACTATGTAACCAAAAGTGTAATAAGCAATTTATTGGCAAATATAAACATTAGAATTTTTCCTAACTTAGTCAAATGGAAGGGGAAAAGGGAAGAAAACAGGAAAGTGAGAATTAAGCCAAGGCTGGGGACCATCCGTGGGGGAAGAGTTCAAGAAAGTCTTCCATCACTGAGGACAAATGTGACAAATATGACAGTTTTATACAGCCAGCTCACATGCATTCAGACCAGAACACACAAAAGCTGCACGTAGAACTTCTAGGTTTGTGACTTTGTATTATGCGATTTATAGAGTCTCTGATTTTTAACACGGGCTTTGTTCCAAGGGAACTTTATTTCAAGTGGCTCGTTAATTACCAGTAGATTCTGATTTCCCCATTCCCATTTTCATTTTGACTCAAGAGAAACAACAACCTTTGAGAGGATAGGAACGGCTCCTTGGCCAGTGGATGGGACCAGGCACCTAAGTAAGAAGTTGACACTCTACTCACACTTTTCATGAATAGCCGGAATTCTCAGGGTGGCTACTGGAGACTCCCCAAGAGAATTATATGAAATCACAGACACCCAATAGGTCTCGCCTCCCAGATGCAGTTCAAGCTGCCGGTTAGTGGTGTTCATTGCCTCTGTGAGGTTAGTGTTGTTTTCTGGAAAGTACCGTATGTTGTAGCCAAGTGTTTTCTCCAGGACTGGGGCTCCTCTTGCATTCTGAACTCCAAGGAAACAACACAAAAAGAAAGACACTGAGACAGCCATAGTGGTGGAGTTGGGGGTGGGAGATAACGTTAACTATTAGGTGCTAAATTACAATTAGGTAATTACTCTCTAGAGATGAATAACAAAACAGGGGCTGGGATATTAACTCTTTAAGTGCCAGAAGATAGGATTTACCAAATGGTACCTTGGTGGTATCGATCCTTAACATAGGTTTAATTCCATGAGGCTGACCTAGGAGAGTGCCCAAGCCAACGAAAGCGAGCCACCTTCATTTCCTTCTGACCGTGTCTTTCATTCCATCCCACGTGTGTAGGGAGGTAAAATCTAAAAAGCGAAGCCTCTGAGCACATCCCAAGTCTGGTCTGGCCCTGGGTCATCTCTTGCCCTAGTGTCCAAGGATTTGAAAGTTCTTATGCCCTTGTCTTTTATCTCCACGCCTTCCCCTCTGAGGAGGGAGCCAGCTTCCCTGGACCAGGCACCCAGCCAGGCATCGCAGCTAAGAGAACTAGAACATTCAGGGCTGCCCTACTAGTCCCAAATCATTGGTGAGAAGCTTAAGGTGGAACTCCTGAGGCTTTAAACCAAACTCTTATTTTCAGCCTTGAACTTGGCCCCACCCACCAGATGTTCTGCCTAGAAGTCAACAATCTGAGTATTTCCCAGAAATTATAGGGCTTCTTGGTTGTTCGTTTTCTGTTGATTACACACACAGATGGAGCAGAATGACCAGGTCAGACAGGACTTCAGAAGTCATGTTGTCCCATTGCCTTCTCAGATCAGGAATTTCCTTTATGTCACTGACCCTGACAAAAAAGATCAGCTAGAACCTTTCTAATGACTGGGAGCCTTTTAACTCTCAAGACAACCCATTCTGTTTGTTAAGTAACAGCTTTATTGAGATGTAATTCACATTCCATAAAATTCACTGTTTTAGCTGAGGTGGCTCATGCCTGTCATCCTAGCACTTTGGGAGGCCAAGGCTGGAGGATCACTTGAGGCCAAGAGTTTGAGACCCTGGCCTGTGTTGAGCAACATAGAGAGACCCTGTCTCTATAAAAAGTAAGAAAAATTAGCCAGGTATGGTGGTGCACGCCTGTAGACCCAGCTACTTGGGAGGCTGAGGCAGGAGGATCACTTGAGCCCAGGAGTTTGAGGCTGCAGTGAGCTATGATTGGGCCACTATACTTCAGCCTGGACAACAGAGCCAGACCCTGTCTCAAAAAAAAAAAAAAAATCACTGTTTTAAAGTGAATTCAATGCATTGTGAATTTAAAGTATATTCATAGAATGGTGCAATCATCACCACTATCTAATTTTGGAACACTTTAGTACATTGTTTTTTAACCAACTCAAATTCTTAGAAAACTCTCTCCACATGAGTCAAAAAAGTTCCAAAGCGAGGGGAGAACAGGGAGGGCAGGGAAATCCATCTCCCCACTTCATAGGTTGGCCTACTTCACCCATGCCCACTGTTGTGTAGCTAAGACCACATATGGGTATGAGTCAGTTTGCTTTCCTCCCCCAAAAATGTGTTGACAGGGTCATCCGTTTTCATACTTGATAACTAACAAAAAGGCCACAGCATCTGGAATTGATTCTCAAAGATTTCCCAACACCACTGGCTGTGCTTTCCCTGTCTGTGGCCTCTGCAACTGGAGGCTGTCCCACGACCCTGGGGGTGGGGGGTAAGGGGCAAAGGTAGGAACATGCTTTAATACTACAGCATTTGGGATTGGAATGTCATCTGGCAAAGCAGGGCAATTTCTCCACTTTCAAAAGGATTCTGAACTTGCCTGGACTTCAGCAAGTAAGAGACAACGTGATGAGCACCCGAGGATTCTGAAGACGTACTAAGGAGTTTTGGCCTCTCGCTCCTCTCCTCTTGCTCTTCTTCCCCATCTTGTCACTCCTATTTCTTGTGGTGTTCCTATTTTCCTTTTCTCTTCCTGTTTGTTCCCTCTTCTCCTCCTCTTCTGTTCCTTTCCCTGCTGTTTTCTCTGATCTCTTCTTCCTTTCTCCTCTTCTTGGCATTACCTACCTGCCTTGTCCTTGTTCCTCACTCCTAAGCCTCCCTCCCAGAAAGGACCATTTGGTCCCTCTTTTGTCATTGCACCCGCTATTGCAACACACATGCAACATATGTTGACAACGACCTGAGGACACACTGGCAAGCTGACCCATTTGGTCAGTGCTCTTCTGAGACAGAGGGTGGGACTACTGAGACTTCCATTGCCTTCCAGTGGAGGCCAGCCAGCAATGGTTTCCTCCAGAAGGTCACGGTGCCTCCTACATTTGCACTTTGTACCTGCCCCAAATGTTAATGTTTCTGACCAAAGAAGACAGGGGGCCAGGGTCTGTAATGCACATTTGGGCCATCTGCAAGATGACTTACGGGGCTTTTCTGAGCTGGGTAACCATTGTGAGATTTGGGGTGTCATAAATCCCTCTAGGGAGAAAAATACAGGAGGTAAAATTTCAAGAATCACAGTTTTTGGAGGGGTAAGAGATCAAGGGTTTTTAAACAGGAAAAAATAAATAAATAACCAAGAGGGAGGTCACCTTCCACAGCAACCACACTGGCCTCCTTCCATCTGCCTCAGCTGGTCTCAAGATTCTCCACAGATCCAGGCCATATGGAGCTGTAAGAAACAAGAGTGAGGTGCTCAACACAGATGGAGTCGCAGTAGGAGATGGGGAAGGTGAGCGGGCGGTTGGGAAGGATTTCCTTGAGGGAGCCAGCAGGAGTCAGGCGGAGAGTGGAGGGGTGGCAGCCTTGCAATGACCAGTGACGTCTTCATTTTGTGGTGGGAGGACTAGAATCAACTGCTCTTAGGTCTCACGACTGAATGTAAGATATAAGAAAAGTATAAGAGGCCCCACTGTAATACAGGGTGTCCCAAAAGTCACCATACATAGGGAAAATGGGAAAATTGTAGCTAATTGTGTCTTTATTTACAAAATATTTGTTACAAAATTTTTCCTTTGTATGGAGACTTTTGGGACACCCTGTATAATTTGTCACCCAAAGCTGGATAAAATGTGACCATCTGATGTTCTCTAGATCTAACATCTATCTACATTAAAGCTGGGACTGACACAGATAACTGACAAGGAGATACACATATATTTATGTAATTTATACCATATCTGCTTCCAAAAAAATGAAACTACATACTTAAAATGTTATAAAATATAAGAAAAAACTAAATAAGATAGGAACAGACAAATAACCCTCACTAGGCCCCTCCCTGAACTCTAAATTCAATGCTGGTCTTCCCAGCAGGAAGAATAAAAAAGAACCACATTGAGTTGCATATTTCTCATGGTCCAATAAAAAGGAAGCATAGAAATTCATATGAAGAGGCAATTATTTTCTGGCTTTGAACAGCGAATTCATAAATGGAAATTATCATGTAGATCCTTTCAGAAAGGACACAGGGTAACATAAAGGCTAATGTCTGCAATCCCAGTTGAGCAAAAGCACAGAAATATTATACACGTACATTTGTTGTGGTTGTTTTCTATAAAATGCCAGGGCACAAATCCTGGCTTATAGCTTTCTCCAATAAACAATATAGTCTAAGACAACATTGTACAAGTGTACAGGCTTCTGATGATCTAACCATGCAGGGCTAAAACTCACAAAAACAAGGAATTTACATGTCACTTGATCTCTGAACTATATACCTCAAATATGTCTCAAGCAAGGTTTGGCAAGGGATGGGTCACTGGCAATTTACAATTGAACATCTTGGCATGCGCCTAAAATGCCAAAATGCTAAGATGCTGATTAAAGAATGACCCACACACTTTAACCACGAGAAGAAAGCACAGAGAACTGTCCAGAAAGCTAGTGGCCTGCAATTTGGAGAGGAGAGTTGCTGTCCCTAATGGAAGCTGCAGTTGTTGTACTCTGAATCCTTTCTCGAGGAAGTCACATGGCTGGAGAACATGTAAACAGGTTGACAAAGAATGCGGTCTACCACTCAGGCCAAGATCTAAACTATTAGTACTGAGAAATTGTCTTCAGGGAATCTTTTTAACTTTAGGTGAAATTAGATGAATTCAGTGAAATTACTGAACTCCAATTAAAGACAACCTTATGATGTAGGAAAATGTACCAAAGGGCAGTTAAGTCAATACCTTGTTTTGTCATCAATGGAGAGTCACATTTCTATACCTACTCTTGCAGGAGCCGAAGTGTGGTTAGCACAGTCTAGCTGTTAGGCCCAGGGTCTCTCAATGAGACCTATTGTCATTGCATTTAAGTTGCTTATAAGAATATTGGAACTGTTTAGACTTTATATATGACCTCGTCGGAATTCCACTGAGGTGTGTCTTAAAAGCTCTACCAGGAGTTTTCTGATTTCCCAAAGGTTTTTATTGAATCAGAAGACAGGACAGCCAGTACTCAACTTTCTCACACAGGGAACAACAGGCTGGTTTCAGTGAGGTGTGAGCAGTGGCAAGGTTCCTCCCAGAAGACAGTCTTAGAAGAGGCTGACAGTCATTAGAACTTCAAAGGTAACCCGCAGAATTACAGGGATTCTTACTCTGTCTCTAACTTGCAGAATCTCTCTGTTCCAATCATGTGGAAAGTCAAACTCAGGGATGATAATTTTGAGAGTAAGAAAAAAAAAATCTAAAGACGAAGTGTTCATTCCTATCCAGTCCTAAATATTCATCTCAAGGACAGATATAGGCAAAAATAAACTGATTATTAAATAATCATTGCAGGCACTAGACTAGAAATATGAGTGAAATTCTTATTAGATTTGGCCCATAGGCACCCATTTAGTTTTAGTAGATGGTAATAATGAATTGAGTTTAATTGGGTATTTTCCCCTTTCATTGAGGCCAGTAGTTCCTGCAGTTATTGTCCAAAGAGAAACAGTCTTCCCAATATAGACTTTCCACAAATGCAGCTTCTAGTAAAACCATTGTCTGACTGGTATGTAAATCTTCTACAATTATTAAATATTACAGCCAACTTTCCATTAACCATGAGTTTATAATGGATTTGCAGTTTAACCAAAGGATGAAAAGTAATAACTCTGTATTTATGAAAAAGGCAAAATTACAGTTTTACAAATCAACCAAAATATCTACATATTCAAAGGCATCAATTGTCTGGACTGGTATAGTTACAATCTGATGCTATACTGTTTCTATTACAATATGGGTTTCCCCACAACCACTACCAATCAGACACATACTGGTACCCTTGTTAAAAACCAACAATAATAACAGCTAACTTTCAGCAAGTGAATTACTGAATTATCTCATTTAATCCCTACTGCCCTGTAGTTATTTATAGCAATATTATTGTTTCTATTTCTGAAGCCCAGAGAAATTAAGCAACTGTCCAGTATCACAAGCTTTTAAGTAATAAAGCCAGGATTTGAATCAAATTATATCTTTATCATGTAGTAAGTAGATATTCAAATACCTAAATGTAGGTAAATAACTCTAATAATCAATATGTTCAAATCCAAAAGAAAATAGGTAGAGCTTCACATTCAACTTAGAATACAAGTTTTCAAACAATTAGAAAGGTTTGAGGTGGTTTGCACTACACAACTGGCATTTCATTGAAATAGGAAAACAAATGGCTTATGAATTAGAAGAAGAAATTAGGATTTGCTGGGGTTTGGGAATGCATTTCCATCAGTTTCCTCTGAGATCCTAAAAAAATGAAGAAAAACAAAAGTAAAAGTTCTCTAGTGGTGACTTTGACAAATAAGTATTGATTTACTTTAATTAGAAAAGTACACAGAGAACACCAGCGTCTGGTGTTTGCTAATTAATCAAGCTAGCTGAACTAATAAATCATATAAAATAGAAAATCTTGTTTCTGGCAGCAAAACGAGTTGAGGACTGACATTAGGGAGTGGCTGCCCTGTGATGAGCTGAGTAGGCTTGAGGCTCTGAGCCATAATGGCACCAGGACGTCACTGGAGAGAAGAGTGACAGCCACAGAGGGGAGATGAGCTGGGCAAAGCACCATCACACCTGAGGCAGTACTTAGTCCCCAGACTGCCTGCTGAAAGGTAGGCAAAGGAAGAGGACTATCTGCTCAATGGTCCTGCACAAACATCCTCAGTGGGGAATACAAAATTCAGAAGGTATCAAATTGGTTCCAGACATCTGACTATAGCAGTGAACACACCAAACATCTGTCAGTACTTAGTCTTGTGGGAAACTCAGCCAGGATCCAGAGGGATAAATTAGAGCAGGAAGCACAGAGGTTGATGCCAGATGTTACCTGAGAGCAATGTGGGACTTGGGTATGAGACTGAAATCTCATTTTCTATTACAATGTGAGTATCCCCACAACCATGAGCATGAAATCATGAGCATGGGGGGATTCATGTTCTAAAACCTACACTTCATAAATAAATGAAGTGAAATCCTCAGAGGAAGGTTAGAAGGATGGACATTTTTGTATTCCTTTTCCATAATTCAGAAGACTACGTGTAGACATCACCAAGTATTCATCTAATGAGTCATTCATTCATTGTGTTAGGCTGAAAAATGGCCCTCAAAGATATCCAGGTCCTAACCCCCAGAACCTACAAATGTTTCCTTATATGGGAAAAGGGGACAGTATCCTGGATCATCCAAATGGGCCCTAAATGTGATCCAAAGGTCCTATAATAAGGGAGACAGAGAGATTTGACACAGAAGAGGAGAAAAAGGTAATATGATGATGGAATTATAAGCTTTGTAGCTTGAGGAAGGAGCCACAAGCCAAAGAATACAGGCCACCACCTGAAGCGGGAAAAGGCGAGGAAACATTCTCCACTCAGAGTCTCCAAAAGGAAACAACCCAGCTGGCACCTTGAATTTAGCCCAGTGAAACTGATTTTGAACTTCTAACTTCCAGAACTATGAGAATAAATCTGTGTTGCTTTAAGCCATTAAATTTGTGGTAATGTGTTACAGCAACAATAGGAAACTAATACATTGATCATCTACTGGGGGTCAGGCACTGGGCAAGGCTCTTGGAACAATAGCACATGCTGAGTGACCTGAGCCGTTTATTAACATCGCTGAAACTCAACTCCCTCACCTCCAAAATGTGAGTGACAACATATTTTATAGGGCTTCTAGGAGGATTAGTAAGAACAATAGGATAAGTAATAAGACTAGGAAATCTAGCATTTAGTGAATGTTTACTATGGGCTACACACATTATGTCATTTACTGTCTAAAATAACACTAAAAAGGAGGTACTACTATAAATTCAATTTACAAATTATATTTCAATACGGAAAAGAGGAATAAATGGTGAGGAAACGACTTAAAGTAGACTTTGAAATTAGGTATCGTGCCCAAAGTCATTGCAGGGCCGGGTTGGGATTTAAGCCAAGCCCAGTGGCCAGAAGCATTGCTCTTATTGGCCGTATGTGACTCGTGGTAAGTGCTCAATCAATGTGCAGTCCTTGTCTCTTTCCTTCTCACTGTCATTAAAGATGTGACATTTTTTCCCCTTTTCATTAGTTATACCTTTATTTTTTGAGTAGTTGTTCTAGGGTTTACAATATGTATCTCTAATTTATCATAGGATACATTGAAGTGATATGATACTACTTCATGTACAGTATTAATATAAGAACCATACAAAAGATGCAATCCTTTGTGTTGGGGCACAGAGCTGCTCAGGTACCTAGCACCAGCAGAGCAGGGCAGGCTCACTGCCAGGGGCTCAGGTGGGCACAGAGAACACTCATCAGGCCCACGATTCCCGACTGGGGCACTTGACGAAACCCACCAATCTAGCCCCCAGCAGCCCTACGCCAGCAGGCAGAAGAGAAATGACAGGGAGCAGCTTGCCTTCCTCCTCAGTTGTTCCCATTTCTTCCTGGCTCCAGGCGCTCCAGAACCTTGACTCCTCGGCCACACATCGCAGAGCTATGACATATTGCGCAAAAGCCTGCAGCCCCGTGAGGTTGTAGGTTTGGTCTGTATTGGAATGCCTATCAGTGAAGTTGACTTCCATCTACAAGACAGAGACAACCCTCAGGTGAAATGGAGACAGCACGTTATCGTTCGTTCCATTTTTCCTCTTCGCTATCCACTGCTCTCTTACCTTTTCAGAACTAGTAACACTCTATCTCAAATTTTAAAATATTAAATACATAATTTTCAGAAATAAACTTCCACGTGTCTGGGAACAATTGGCACCTAAACAGATACGAATCTCCCCATAAACCGCCTCCCTCCCCATTTCCTGCCTCTAAGCGTGTAGGGCAGGGACTCCTGCCTCTGGACTGGTCTGAGTGAACGGAGCCCTACTGCTTGCTGTTCTGGAAGACGCAAGGCAGAGCCCATGACCCGGGGCAACTGGGGCCTAGGAGGGGACTCCAACACCTAGAAATACAGCCTCACAGAACAGCAGGGGACAGAGACCGTGGCTGCATCAAATTCAAGCCTCATGTCACGACTGACACCCAGGAAAGTTAAATGACCATTTAAATGAAAGTTAAACTAGGACTTAGCAGAACTAGGACCAGAACACAGATTTCTTTACTCCTAGGCTCTTTCCCTTTACGCAAATGTCTCCTTTCAAACTGTGGATCTTTCGGTGACCAGTCAGTCAAGCTGCTGAAAGTCTCAACAGCCTGGATGTATAAATTCACTTTGACACTCTCTTGGGGAGGGGAGAGGTAAATAAATCAGTTCTCTTCTCTTGAGGTCAGTTTCTCATTAGTAAAAGGAAGGTGTTGCTTTATATAATTTCTAAAGTCCCTCCTGAGCCCTCTCAGTGAAACTAAAAATTCACCTATTCCTTTCTGAGCACAGTCATCGTTGCTGCAATATAAACTTTCAGCTGTTGGCTTATGAAACTTATAAGGAGCTGATAAAAATGAACTGCACTTATAGGCACGTCCGTTTTGCTAGTTTGCACACAGTAGAGTCCCATGGAACACTACAGGAGAAGGAAGCCCTGCTATTTCTTACACCTGTGTAAAAGCTGTGAAAATGAGTACCTAATTACAGCTCCTGAGCCTAAAGGAAATGGGCAAAAGGAGCGTGTGCATCTGTGGCAGGAAGCCGAGCATCCCGGCTACAGATGGACACTCCGAACTCCCAGCCTAGTGAGACGGGGCGGAGCAAGGAGAGGTGAAGCGGTGTTGCTGCTGAATCCCTGGTTCCCTGAGCATCCTCTTCAAACCACCCCTGCAGAGGCTGTGGCAGGAGATAGGGTTGTGGGGAGCATAATTTGGGACAATCTGTCATTATGGGGTTCAGTTGGAACAGGATCAAAACCATTAGGAAAGGCCCAGTCACATGGTGCCCTCCATAAGTAACATAACAATACTAATCCAAACAGCGAGTGTAAGGAAGTCTAATAATGCTCTCCTTTCCTTTTCATGCTTTTAAAAATATATGATTTTTTTCTTAAATCTTTCTAATTTTTCCTGCTGCTTTGCTCTTACCCTTAGCACATGCTTGGCCTGCTTGGTGGTTCTGACCACGTTCATGCTCAAAGAGCTCTGCCTAATGTAGCTACAAAAGCCTGTTCTTCCCAGTCCCAGCCTCAGAGGAAACAAAAAAAGCTGCTCAGTCTTTCAAACGATATGTCTTTAAGGCTCCTTTTACCTTGGCTTTTTATCTAGCTGAGGTGCCTTTGGCCTTCAAAGGGTCCAGGATCAACTGATCCTTTATATACGGGCTTAGATCTAAACCTTCCACAACTCAACATAGGCGACGGAACCACCCCGAAACATTAATTAGTTTCATCAGGTTTGCTTCTATAATCTGTACTTTGTGCCAAATCCTAACAAAGCCAAAGTGTTTGTCTTAAGAGATGAGTCAGAAGTTTTGGTGCAAAGCCTAAATCAAACTTGTAAAATAGTTTTGAGATCCCTTTCCAGGATATTCACATGGTTTCATTATGTAAAGGTGTAAGCGCTTTAGACTAGGACCACAGGAAGACTTGGAGGTGCTGAAGTATGGTCACACGAATGACAAACTTGGAGTCAGAAAACCTGGGCTTAGGTTTGCAACTTATAAACCTTATGATCTTGGATAGATCATTTAAGCTTGCCACATCTCAATTTCCTAATCTGTAAAAATGTGGTTAGTAAGGCCTCATTTATAGGATATTTGCTAGGCTTAAATAATTTGGAGGGTAAGAAAGCACTTTGCAACTCATATACTCTCATACAAATGTGGGTCTTGTCATAAGGACATTTTGGGATTTCAGGATTAGTTTCACATGGCTTAGTTTAAACAAACATTTATTGAGCATAGGCATGTGCCAGGCAAAGGGAAAACAAAGACGAAAATCAAGGCCAGGCGCGGTGGCTCACGCCTGTAATCCTAGCACTCTGGGAGGCCGAAGAGGGTGGATCGGTTTGAGCTCAGGAGTTCGAGAGCAGCCTGAGCAAGAGCAAGACCTCCGTCTCTACTAAAAAATAGAAAGAAATTACTTGGGCAACTAAAAATATATAGAAAAAATTAGCTGGGCATGGTGGCGCATACCTGTAGTCCCAGCTACTCAGGAGGCTGAGGCAGAAGGATCGCTTGAGCTCAGGAGTTTGAGGTTGCTGTGAGCTAGGCTGACACCACGGCACTCTAGCCAGGGCAACAAAGGGAGACTCGGTCTCAGAAAAAAAGATGAAAATCAAGCTCCCTGCATTTGAAAGACTTACAGTCTAACTGGGAGAGAGACAAGTTTAAACACGTTCATTGTTAAGTGCAATGACAGAAGTGAGGCATGTAGAGAAGGGACACCAGACTCTGGCTCTCAGAAGAAATATGCCAGACCCAAGTTCTGAAAGATGAATAGATTGGGGCAGGAGCAGAGGTGCAAAAGCAGAGGGTGTTCTAGAGAGAGGCACAGAATACTGAGACAACATGATCAGGGGAAACAAGCAATTCAGAATTACCATAGCAGCAAGAGCAAGGTGAAAGATGAGCTTGAGGGGGTTGTGAGGGCCAGGTCTCAGAGGGTTAAGGACCTGGATCTCCTTCTATCAACAGTGGGAACCTGGTCGGGTGTGGTGGCTCACACCTATAATCCTGGGAGGCACTCTGGGAGGCTGAGGCCAGAGGATAGCTTGAGTTTAGGAGTTTGAGACCAGCCTGAGCAAGAGTGAGACCCCGTCTCTACCAAAAATAGAAAAAATCAGCCGAGCGTGGTGGCTTACGTCTGTAGTCCCAGCCACTTGGGAGGCTGAGGCAGGAGGATCACTTGAGCCAAGGAGTTTGAGGTTGCTGTAAGCTAGGCTGTCACCAGGGCACTCTAGCCTGGGCAACAGAGCAAGGCTCTGTGTCAAAAAACAAAGCAAAAAACAAAAAAAACCTAACAAACAGTGGCAACTGCTGATGGGAGGTTGGAAAGAGCTGGGTTTAGAGCTGAGGAGACTTGCCTGTCTTTGAAAGCTAAAAGGAGAGAGGGGTACTGGCTATACATTTCACCTTCCTTCCCATGGCCTCCAGGAGAACAGGAGGAAAGACATCTTACCTTGGAGACTGGAAGGAAGGCGGCAAAAATGCAGGTGAGTCTGTCAAAGGGGTGGGGCACAGGATGGAGTAGTTTACACTTGTTGCCCTCAGTGTTGTACATGTGTCCAGGGGGACACAGGACCTGGTTTGTTTTTCCTGTTGAATCCTACACCAGCAGCTATAGTGACTCTGGACTCAGACAAATAGAAAGAATCAAGGATTCCCAGCCAGCAGATCACCCCAGAAGTTCCTTCAGTTCACTGAGCCCATGACCTGTGGTACGAAGGAAGAGAAGCTGTGCTGTGCTGGGGACTATTCTGCTTAGGGGCTCCCCAAACTACAAATCAATGAGTCCAATGTTACCTGTCGTCAGGTTCAAGGGGAATGGTTGCAGAGCTGGCTTAGATAGGAAGCTGGGAGGAGGAGTGGCCAAAATCATCTCTCTAAACATAGGACAAGTAAAACTTAACCAATTTTCTTTTCTGAAGGAGTTCTGGACTAGGATAGGATGCAATAGACATGGCATCTCTGGGTTTCCACAAAGGAAAGAGTCTCATGATAGCCTCCTGGACAAGATGAAAAAAGTAGGCTGGATGACTGTCGTGGTAATTAGGTATATTGATAGAAGCCTGAATAAATGATCACACTCAAAGAAGGTGGGTTGGGTCTCTGGATGGTCCCTACTGGTTTCCCATAGGGCTCTGATGTAGTCACCATTTTTATCAATAATTAGATAAAGGTATAGGAGTAAGTGTTATCAAATATGAAGATACTGAAAAGCTAGAAAGTAAAAAGTTAATTATAAGTTTTGGGTGACCAAATAAAGATTCCAAATAGGCTGAAATGATGGATAAGACCAATGTTAAGAAATTCGATAGGAATAAATAAAACACCTGAACTTGGGTTAAAAACCAGCTCATTATAAGGTAGTGAAGATGTGTTTTACTAGCAAATCTTGGTGTGGAGGACTCTTAACGATTTAACTGGCTACTAATTGACTAAGAGTCAATAATGTGCGATGGTTACCAAAAAAAGGTGATATAATTTCAGGCTGCATTGATGGAAATAGGAAATATCTTCTGGACTTTGAGATAAGAAAAGATTTCTTAAGACCACAAAAGGTATTAAGAATAGAGAAAAAGGCTGATAAAATTTGACAGTATAAAAATTAAGAAGTTCTGTTCATCAAAAGTCACCATTAAGAGAGTGAAAAGATATACCACATAGTAAGAGATGTTTGCAACACATATAACAAAGAAAAGACTCATAAATAGAATATATAAGGAATGCCTACAAGTCAGTTAAAAAATCAAGCAGACCACTGAATAGAAAAAAATGTGTAAAAGGCTTAAGTCAGTACTTCACAATGAAGGAATCCAAATGGCCAATAAACATATGAAAAAGGTGTACAACCTCATTAAAAGTCAGGCAAATGCAAATTAAAGTCACAATTCCACTATGTTCATATAATGGAGTACTACAGAGCAATGAAAATATATAAACTACAGCATTATATAACATAAATAAATTTTAAAAGCATAATTTTTTTAAACAAGCTCTCACTCTGTCACCCAGGCTAGAGTGCAGTGGCACAATCACAGCTCACTGCAACCTGGAACTTCCAGGCTCAAAGGATCCTCCAACTTCAGACTTCAGAGTAGCTAGGACAATAGCTGCATGGCACCATGCCCAGCTAATTTTTAAAAATTGTTTTTAGAGACAGGGTCTCATTATGTTGCCCAGGCTGGTCTCGAACTCCTGGCCTCAAGCAATCCTCCCACCTTGGTCTCCCAAAATTCTGGGATTACAGACATGAGGCACTGTACTCAGCCCTAAAAGCACAACATTGAGAGATAGAAGCCAAACATTAAAAAATACATAATGTACGGATTCCATTTATAGGTTCCTCATATATTTCTACTGGGCATTCCTTCATCCTGGGTGTCAAGGAAAGAGAATCCCTTCAACTATGTTTTTCAGGGCTGCAGGCTTAAATAGTGAAACCATAATAAAAGCAAAGAGTGATTACCATGAAAATAAGAATAATAGCTCTAATGAGAGGAGGAGCATAGGTAAGGTTTTATTCTTGACCTCAGTGGTTTTTACATGAGTGCTGACTTAATAATAATTTGTTAAATGCAATATTTTATGTTTTGTTCACTGTTCTCAATGTGAATTATACTTCACAATATTATGAAAGGTTGGAAAAATTAAAAATAAAATGGCAAACTACAGAATCTCTGGTAGCCAACATAGCTAGATACAAACCTGGATAGAATAAAAAAGTAAAATCTCTCACTCTTTAATATGTCCCTGTGCTCAGAAGGCAAAATGTCTATGGTAGAACAGTTTTCCGATCTAAAAGGTCCAAATGGGAAATTGCGAAGGAAAGCAGTCAGGATTGTCTCTCTTCTATTTTCAATGTAGAAAGTGAAAACAACAACTCCAGGTCAAAAAAAGTCATCAATGATTCTCTTCCTCGGGTCCTCTACTAGGAACATTATAATGGCATAACTTACCCAGCGGGTACTATTGATTGTCCTGAATCGAAGTGTGTATTTTAAATTAGATGAAGCAGGTGCCAACTCAGGTCTTTTCCATTTTATTTGAACCATTCGTTTGATACCCAAAACTGGTTTCACACTGAGAATCCCAGGTGGTTCGGTTTTTGCTGGAAATAAAAATCATATAGTTCTCATATTTGCAGAAAGAAGAAACCGTGCTTATAGCATCCACTCAAAACTGGGGGAAAATAAGTCTAGAAAGAAAATGATAGTGCATATTTTGTGGTCTGCTATACGCAGATGGCATTTGCAGGCAGTACAAAAGGAATGCCACCCCTCACCCAGCACCTCCAGAAAAAGGAGCGCCCAATGAAAAAAAGAACACATTCCTGTGATTTTTCTGCAAATCAGCCTATTATTGATTGGGTCATATCCTACACCAAGCAGAAGGGAGGTAAGAAGAGACCACAGAACCAGAAAATAGGCTGTTTCCCTTATTTACCTTCCCCTAGGCCTCTCTTCCCTTCACTCCTATGTACTAGAAAGCACCTCTCATTTTTCTTGCACGCTGCAAACATTCTAGCCCCAACTTTCTCTCTTTGAAAATATGTATTTTTCTGATTATAAAAGTAGCATATACCCATTACAGAAAATTTTTAAATGTGGAAAAATACAAAGAAAAACTTAAACTCATCCAAAATGCCATCAATCAGAGATAATCCTCATTAACATTTTGGTATATTTCCTTTCAGGCTTTTTTTCTATGTAATTATTTGCATATCTTTTAAACAGAATTGATATTATGCTAAATAATGCTTTTGTTTTTTTAAGTAACATTATGCAATCAGCATATATCCACTGCTATTAAAAATTCTTCAAAACATTATTTTTGGAAGCTTTATAATATTCCACCTTATGGATGAATAAATTTTTTTTTGAGCATTGCTCTACTATTGCACATTCATAGTGTTTCTAATTTTTAATTTAAAGCTTCTTGAGCACAGAAGCTGGTCTTGATTACAGAGTCTAGAATTAACAAATGTTTGACACTTAGGAAGTATCAAATATTTATTAAGTGGATGAATAAATAGATGATAGTTGAATCTTTCTCTGCATCTTTGATGTTTTCACTAGACCCCCTTAGGATAGGCCGACTGGGTAAAAGGGCATGAACATTTTTAGGGCTGCTGCCACACGGTGCCATTTTGCTCTCCAGAAAGGCTACACCTATTTCAGTTTCCATTAAGAGTGTATGAATACCCATTTTGCCACACCCTTGCTTAGCTAGAATTGAACAGTATCATCTTCTTAATCTTTGCAATTCCTGAAGGATTTCGGAGAGCAAAATCTCTACTTAGAGCCAGGGACTTAAAAACATTAACTGGGTAAAAATATTCAGAAAGCCCTTTATGGCTACTCAAAAAATAATGTGTACTTATGCTGGAACTAAAGGGTGGTCATCAATCTATGTGGCCACTCAGTGGGTAGAGCTGTACACAACAGACATTAGGGATTTCCCTAAGATTATTGATATTTATTGAGCACTTGATAAATATTTTTTTAGGTGAGTCATTTTGTTGATTCCTCTCAACCACCTAACATTTATTATACCCATTCTATAGAAGATAAAACTGAGGTTTTTTCAAAAAAAAATTTTTTGGGTCTCACTGTGTGGCCCAAGCTGGTTTTCAATTCCTGGGCTCAAGCAATCCTCTAGCCTCAGTCTCCCAAAGTGCTGAGATTATAAGCATGAGCCACCACACCTGGCCAAAACTGAGATTTAAAAAGGTAAAATAACTTTCTAATAAAAAGCCAAACTATGATTCATTTGCATCCACACCAAAGTTCCTACCATTATACTTGACTACCTCAGTCAGAGTAAACACAAATTCTTGTTATAGCTCCATTCAACTCTATAACTCTATCATCAAGGATACATAAATTATTAATTTTTCCTCTGCTTAAAAATGGCTCTCAGAATAGCTCATTAAGAAATGATGGATATTGAGTGACATCAGCAAAATAATAGACTAGGTAGCTACAAGTTCTTGTACCGCTATGGAAAAATTTAAAAAAAAAAAGACAGAAGCTGGCTGAACTAATCTTGTAGGAGCTCTGGAAACCAGTTAAAGGTTTTCAGAAACTATAAACACCTAATCAAGAAAAAGTCACCTTCAAAGTGGTAGGAAAAAAGTTTTGTGGCTGTCTTACATGCCCTTGCCCCACCCCCTCCCAGGCACATCAGTGGTCTTGGTATGGAGAAGGTGGCAGCCCAGTTCCTAGCTCCCTTCCTCCAACTGGATAAAGCAGAGAAGAACTTATTTACAACATTCTAACTTGTCTGAGTGCAGACTAAAGGACCAGTCTCTGTTTTGCCTAACTTGAATTTCAGGCAGGAAAAGTGGTAGACTCTGCTCATAAAAGCCTCAGGGAGACTACAGATCCACAGAAACCTGGGGAAAAGGATTATGGATGGAGACATACAATAGAATAACAAAGTCCTAAGGGGAAACTGCGTGAGACTCCTTGATAAATTAAGACATTCAAAAGTTGCTATGTATTCAGGATAATTGAAAAAGCACCATATAGGCCCAGGCAAGATACATGCTCAGTAAAGACCTGAGAAGACTTTAAGCTTTCACTTTAGGCACCCTAGGATCAGAATAAACCCAGCTAATGTGTGAAGGACTGCCCCAGCACAGAGCCATTCTGAAAAGAGGAGAGGTGGCTGTTTTTTCAAATGCCCGATTTTCAACAACAACAAAAATTACAAGGCATACAGAGAAACAGGGAAACATGGCCTAATTTAAATAAACAAAATAAATCAATAGAAACTGTCCTTGAGGAAGCCCAGACACCAGAATTTCTAGACAAAGACTTTAAAATAATTGTCTTAAATATGCTCAAAGAGCTAAAAGAAAACAGGGACAGAGAACTAAAGGAAATCAGGTAAACAATATAGGAACAAAATGAGAATATCAACAAAGAGATAGTAATTATAAAAAGGAACCAAACAGAAATTCTAAAGCTGAAAACTATGATACCTGAAAATTTAAAAATTCACTAGACGTGGCCGGGCGCAGTGGCTCACGCCTGTAATCCTAGCTCTCTGGGAAGCCGAGGTGGGCGGATTGTTTGAGCTCAGGAGTTCGAGACCAGCCTGAGCAAGAGCGAGACCCCGTCTCTACTAAAAAATAGAAAGAAATGATCTGGACAACTAAAAATATATAGAAAAAATTAGCCGGGCATGGTGGCGCATGCCTGTAGCTGTGGCTGAGGCAGGAGGATCGCTTGAGCCCAGGAATTTGAGGTTGCTGTGAGCTAGGATGACGCCACGGCACTCTAGCCCAGGCAACACAGTGAGACTCTGTCTCAAAAAAAAAAAAAAAAAAATCACTAGACGGGTAACTTTGAGCAGGCAGAAGAAACAATCAACAAACTTGAAGATAGTACAACTTAAAGTATTGAGCCTGAGGAGCATAAAGAGAAAAAAGAATAAGGAAAAGTGAGCAGAGCCTAAAGAACTTGTGGGACAGGATCAAGCAGACCAACATACACGTTTTGAAAGTCTTTAATAGAAGAGGGAGAGGAAAGGGCAGAGAGATTATTTGAAGAAATAATGGCCAAAAACTCCCCAAATTTGATGAAATACATGAATCTACAAATCCAAGAATCCTAATGAATCCCAAGTAGGATAAACCCAAGGAGACCCACATTAAGACACATTACAACCAAACTGTAGAAAGACAAAGGTGGTATCTTGAAAGTAGCAAAAGGGATGCAACGCATCACATACATGGGATCTTCGATAATATCATTAACTAATTTCTCAGCAAAAACCTTAGAAGACAGAAGGCAATGGGATGATATAGTTCAAGTGCTGAAAGAAAAAAATCTGTTCACTGAGAATTCTATATCTGGCAAAATGGTTCTTCAAAAATGAGGAGAAATTAAGACATTCCCAGATAAATAAAAGCTGAGGGAGTTCATTACCAGTAGGCCTGCCCTACAAGAAATGCTAAAGGGAGTCCTTCAGGTTGAAGTGAAAGGACATTAGACAGTACCTTGAAGCCAGATGAAGATATAAAAATCTCTGGTATAGATAAATATGTGAGCAAATATAAAAGCTAATATTATTATAATTTTGGTTTATAATTCCTCTTTTTATTTTCCAAAGAATTTAAAAGACTAATGCGTAAGAAATAATTCTAACTCTGTGTTAATTGGTATACAATGGATAAAGATGTAATATGTGGCATCAGTAACATAAAATGAGGGAGGAGTGGAACTGTGTAGGAGTAGAGTTTTATATATGACTGAAGTTAAGTTGGTATCAATTCAAATTAGATTGTTATAAATTTATATGCTATCTGTCATCCCCATGGTAACCACAAAGAAAATATCTATAGAAAATATACAAAAGGAAATGAGAAGGAAATCAAAACACATCACCACAAAAAATCAACTAAGCACAAAAGAAGACAGTAATGGAAGAAACAAGGGATAAAAAAGCTATAAAATATACAGAAAACAAATAACAAGATGGCCAAAGTCAGTCCTTCCTTATAGATATTTACTTCAAATGTAAATGGTTTAAACTCTCCAATCAAAAGACATAGATCAACAGATAAATTTTTTTAAATGATCCAACTACATGCTGTCTACTATAGACTAACTTTAGATCTAAAGACACAAATAGGTTGAAAGTGAAAGGATGGAAAAGATGTTCCATGCAAATAGTAAGAGAGCAGGGGTGGGTATACTAATATCAGAGAAAATAGACTTTAAGTCAAAAACTGATTAATGCGAAACACAGCAAAATTTATCTAGATACCACTAACTGTGATAATTTATGTCAGAGGCTGGATCAAAGTAAACCCTAACATTATCTATCAAAAAAGGTTTAAGCAAATTACCAGTGTAAACCAAAGAGGGGGCATACTTCAGTTAGAAACCAAACTAGTTTCACTTATTCTTGAAAGCACAGTCATAGTCCTATCCACTTGAATTTAAATAAGAAGAGTTCTAACTATAAAATTGTTATTATTATTCTGTTATTAAATTCTCTTATCTCATTAATGGAGTCCAAAAAGATCTTAGTATTTAGCAACACTTACCAGGCCCTAGAGATGGATTATAAAAACAGAGTTTCTTCAGAAATCAATTT